GCCTCTTCGGCGGGGCTGGGGGGGGAGCCGCCCGGCGCCTGCGAGTACAAGACGCTGCTGGTGAGCGGGCTGAGCGCGGCGCTGCCCGATCAGCTGCTGGAGGATGGGCTCTTCCGCCTCTTCCAGCGCTTCTCTGGCGGAGGCGCAGGTGACATCAGTGTCAAGCTGTCCCACACGCCCGAACTCGGCCGCGTCGCCTACGTCAACTTCCGGCACCCGGGAGATGCCCGCGATGCCCGCCGCCACGCCCGGGCGCGCCAGCTCTTGCTGTATGACCGCCCCCTCAAGGTGGAGCCGGTGTACCTGCGCGGCGGCCGCCGGAGCCGCACGCCGCCGCCTGCACCCTCACCAGAGCCCCTCAGCTACCTGCCGCCCATCCATGGCACTTACCAGTACAAGCAGCGCTCGCTTTCGCCTGTTGCCAGCCCCTTGTTGAGGGAGCCGAGACCACGGCATGCCCACGCGGCTGCCGCCGCCTTCGCACTGGAGGCAGCTGCTATTGGGCTTTCCCGGGAGCGGGAGCGGGCACTAGACTATTACGGGCTGTATGATGAGCGTGGCCGGCCCTACAGTTACCCCATTGTGGCTGAGGAAGACCTGATGCCTGAGGACGACCAGAGAGCAACCCGGAACCTGTTTATTGGCAACTTAGACCACAACGTCTCAGAGGTGGAGCTGAGACGCGCTTTCGAAAAATACGGCATTATTGAAGAAGTGGTGATCAAGCGCCCAGCCCGGGGCCAAGGTGGAGCCTACGCTTTCCTCAAGTTCCAAAATTTGGACATGGCGCATCGGGCTAAGGTGGCCATGTCTGGCCGAGTCGTTGGCAGAAACCCCATCAAAATTGGTTATGGGAAAGCCAACCCTACTACGCGGCTGTGGGTGGGGGGTCTTGGTCCAAGCACGTCCCTGGCTGCCCTAGCTAGGGAGTTTGACCGCTTTGGTAGCATCAGGACTATTGACTACGTGAAGGGGGATAGCTTTGCTTACATTCAGTATGAAAGCTTGGATGCTGCTCAGGCTGCCTGTGCGCAAATGAGGGGCTTCCCTTTGGGAGGACCAGAGAGGAGGCTTAGAGTGGATTTTGCCAAAGCTGAAGAGACAAGATACCCCCAGCAGTACCAGCCTGCACCACTCCCAGTGCACTATGAGCTGCTAGCTGATGGGTATAGCAGGCACAGAAGCCTAGAGCAAGACTTAAGGGTGCGAGATAGGACTCCTCCACATCTCCTGTACTCAGACAGAGACAGGAGTTTTGCAGAAGCAGATTGGGCCAGTCCTGCCAAAAATGCTGAACGCAGAAATAACCTGGAAAGCTACAGCAGGTCAGTGCGCAGTCGAAGTGGAGAACGATGGGGCAGCGACAGCGACCGCAACGTGCCCAAGCCGTGGGATGAGCGGCGGAAACGCCGAAGTCTTTCAAGTGACCGTGGAAGGACTACTCATTCGCCTTATGAGGACAGAGGCAGGACAAAGGCTACGAGTGGGCCAGCTTCGGATCGCAGCCCAGAGAGGGCTCGCAAAGAGAATCACACTACGGAGTCTGGAACGGAGAAAGAGCAGAGAAACTCCCTTCAGAACAATCAGCACATGGCTGAGGAGAAACCCCATCGTGAAACTTCCGATCCTCCCCAGTCGAAAAAGAGGGACAGCGAACGCAATCATCGAACTGGCGAATCGGAATCAAAAAGTCACGAGGAGCCAAAATCTGAGACCAAAAAATTAAAGAATTTATCGGAATATGCTCAGACACTGCAGCTAGCTTGGAATGGGCTGCTTGTACTAAAGAACAGCTGCTTCCCCACGTCTATGCACATCCTGGAGGGAGACCTAGGTGTCATCAATGGGCTCCTTAAAGACCATTCAACTGGTGGGAAGTTAACACAGCTCAAAATCGCTCAGAGACTTCGGCTTGACCAGCCCAAACTGGATGAAGTAACTCGCCGCATTAAACAAGGCAGCCCCAACGGCTATGCTGTGCTTCTGGCTACCCAAGCCACCCAAGGAGGGGCTGGGGCTGAGGGGACCCTCCCTGTTGTGGAGCCTGGCTTGCAGCGTCGGCTTCTCAGGAATCTGGTCTCCTACTTGAAACAGAAGCAGGCTGCTGGGGTGATCAGCCTGCCTGTGGGAGGGGCGAAGGGCAGAGACAGCACAGGCATGCTTTATGCTTTCCCTCCTTGTGAATTCTCTCAGCAGTACCTACAGTCAGCACTAAGGACATTGGGAAAGTTAGAAGAAGAACATATGGTGATAGTTATAGTCAAAGACACTGCCTAACCCACGCTGTCTTTTCAAATTCCATGTTTTCTTTGTGTGTCACACAGCCCTGTTGTTTTTAAGGCCGATCATTTTGGTGGAGGGCCAAGAAACCTCAACCAAAATTGTAAGATCTTTAGTTTCTAATTAATTTTAATCCCATTTAAATAGAGCCCATTTTATTTGTTTTTAATAACGTGGCACTGTCTTCTGTGTTCTGTATTTTTATTTTTTAACTGTATGAAATGTCAGTAAAGCCTTGTTCACTGATGGATTTTTAATCTTGTGCGGCATCCTGGTTTTTGTGGCCCAGCAATTGCTGTTTCCCTCTCCCACTAAGAACTAAGAGGTGATAGCTCCAGCTCCTTAGTTTCTCAGACCTATCCCCACTGATGTTTAGAAGAGACTGAAAGGGTGACTTTTTTTCCCTATCCTGTTTGCCTTTAAAATTTTACTTTTTAAGTCTTGAGACATTCCTGTTAATTCTCCAGTAGTGAACTGAGGTTTCTGAAGCAGAGAAGTATCAATGAGGTGAATCCAGATCAGGAGTAGGATAAGGGTGATTTTTTTTTTTTATCCATAGTTTCTTTTGGGGTTTTTCATTTAATGTCTGTTTAACATTTGGGAGAGATACTTAGATGGGGAGTTGAAGCTTTAAGGTCTGAGAGCATCTGAGATACTAAAAGTTGTTCAGCGAAATAAGTGAAGATGAAAGTTTGACATTCCTGGCATTTTTAAGATGGGGAAAAATCAAGTGGGAGAAAAGAAAAGGGGCTTCCCTATTGGGAGAGGGAAGCCTCTTGGGTCTCTTGTATACGTAGCAGAGAAATAAAGGACACAAGCTGTATTTTTTGTTGCATTGGAAGTGCCCTTTTGAATGGTTGATTTTTATCTGAACATCTTTATTGACAGGTGAACTGGAAAGTTTTTGCTTTAGTTAAAAACTTTTATTTGCAGGAGAAATACCCCCTGGTCTTCTTAAAACATACTTGTATGTTAATGCAATTAGACTTCCTAAGAGTCTAGGAAGCCCTACTGCTGTAAGAGCAATGGACAAGGAAAGGAAACTGGCAGGTAGGGAGAAATGATTTCTTCGTGCCTTGTTCTGTGGTATGGTGTGAGGTGGTTCATTGGGAGAGAATCTAGGGTATTTGCAGCTTGCTTTCTCAGTAGCCTAAAGAGGGGGGAGTAACTTTTTCAAACTGTATTTAAAAATAGGTTTCTGTTTTGTTCTGTTTTGTTTTTTTAATAATGACTGTTGACTTGGGAGTCTTGGAGGAGGGGGATTAGAAACACTAATTTTGCAGTTTGTCTTTAAATTCCCATTATTCTTCTGTTGTAAGAAAGTAAAGCAGAAGTTCTGGAAGAAATAGTCTCCTTTGCACCAGTTTTGCACCATGGTGATGCATGATTGATTGTTTATTTTAATAAAGGAAGGTATCATCAATTTTCTTCTTTTAAATATTTAATATTTCTCAGCAGGGTAATTTAGTCCAAGCAGAGCTTCACGCTAATACCGGTATACTGCGGCTGCTGCTCAAGCTAGCTTGTGTAGAGGTAGGTTCAGTACCTCTGAATTGTGTGTTGTGGCCATGCTGTTAGTTGCACTACAGATAAAGCTGTAGAGTAGATGGGCTACCTGTGGCTTCAGCAGTTATAGGAACACAATGGCTTTTATCTGCGATTGTGTCTTCTGATGCCTCAGAAGTAAACCATTGTAGCCTTTAAGTATTGTTTTCAAACAAGTGCTGTTTAATATCACTTAGGGCCAGAGGTAATAGCTTTCATTAAAGAATACCCTTTGCATTAAAGGCATACGCTATTGAGGGAGGTTTGTAGGTACCAATCATCTTCGTGTCTTTTCCTGTCATTAAATTCTAGCAGGAGGGGCTGCTGCTTTGGTTGCTTATGAAAGTGTGGCAGCCACTGCACATTAACTGATCTGGGAAGCAGTGAGGCTTGAGAAGTGGGTGACAGAGGCAGAAGATACCTTAAATCTTTGAGTTCCATGAAGGGTCAAAGAAATAGTAATTATTTTTTTATTTTAGACTCCTAATGCATTAGACTTGTGGGAAGGTGCTTTGTGAACGGGCTTTTGTTCTTGGTAAGTGGTGGTCTGCTGGCTGTTTGATGTGTACTTATGAACCAAGTCTCTCATTCATAGGGTCAGGAATATGTTGGTATCCTGGCATTGTAAATGTTCAGACATCTCACAAAATTTTAAAAATATAGTTACTGTTTAAAAAAAAAAAAAAAGCTGTTATCTATCTGGCATCACATGTATGCAAAGTGAGTGCTGAATTACACAAGGACAAGGTCCATGTTCTGAGGACCTTGCACTCCAGCTAGACGCCATGAGCTAGATCCCAGCCAGTCTCTTAAGGTACCTCCACTTATGTGTTGCAGTGCTTAAAATATAGACAGGCACCTTGCCTTGGGAGGGTGATCCAAATTGCCACTTGCTTAGTGACCAGGGTGTCCTAGGTGTCCTCTAAGGGTGAGGCAGTCCTGTGGGTGAGTAGAGTCCTGCATTCTGGTTCATTTCCATGACTGGCTCCCAGTGATGACACCTAAGCAGTTCCATGGCTGCTGACAGGGGTATCCCATTTAGTTGCCTACAAGGTCAGTTCGAATCTGACCCTATGTAGCCAAGGTGTGTAGTGGGGCAGGGAGTTGCAAGGAAAATAAAAGACTAGTGCACAGGTGTTTTCCAAGTGCTGTTGGTATCATGAGTGTGTAACTGCTCATTGTTCTGTCTGGGTGTGCAGTGAACTCTTTCTTAAGGGCAGGAGCCCAGGGAAGATAGGAGGGGTTAAAGTCCAGGGTAAGCCAGGTCATGGAGCTGGGAGGGTTAGTGCCAGGTAATTCTCTGCCCCTTTCCCACAGCTGATAAAAGGGGCTTGGGGCTATATCGTGCTGCAGATGGAGCACAAGTTCATGCTGGGCTGTAGATGGGTGGTTCTCTGGGGCTGTGGCAGTTGAAAATGTTGCAGAAGGCAAATGCTGCCACTAGCTGGCTGTTGTGATGGGACATGGGAAAAAAAGGGCCGGTAAAGGAAAAATATTGGTGGCAAACTATTTGGGTAAGGACTTTACTTCCCCAGTACAGAGGAGGCTGTCAACTACAGCATCTTGAATTCTGTCATGCAAAGCTGTTTAAGTTGGTGGTAGGAGCTATGGTATAGCCAAAGTTATCAGCATTGGCTTCACAGCTGTTTTAGTAACCTTTCTGAACAAGATTTACCATTAGAAGTGGTCTGCTCTGCCCAGAACCTTTCTGCCATTTCAGCCAACAGTTTTGGCTCAGCAGGGGCTGTTAGAATTTGTGTTTAAGCTGTGCATCCATTAGAGAACTGAGCTGGCAGGAGAGACCAGCCATGAGTGCTTATTACTCAGGGTTGTGCGTTTTAGAGATGCTGCTGTTTGGTTCTGCTACACTCCATAGGCAGGGTACTAAACTAGGTGTTGAAGTGTAACTTTGAGCTGTATCTTTCTTCCCCCCTCTGTATGGGGTCCATGGTAGTGGGTATGTGCTGTTTGTACAGTGGTGACAGTCAACGCACTGGGATGGTATCCTGCATGGATGAGCTTGGAGCCTTCAACACATCAGTTCTGTGCGGACGTGGGTCATGCTGCTCCTTGCTAAGGCTGGATTGTCTGCTCCTTTATCAATGGTGTCTGGCTTGTATTCCTCTGGGTGACTATAATGAGGAAAATTTGTATTTTTTTTTAAATTAAAAGGCTGCACTAAGCCACCTGCTGTGGAGTGTAAAGTGAAGAGCAGCATGGTTGGGCTAAGGAGGCAGCAAAGACACCAGCATCCTCACAGGGGAGCATTTCCACATGCTGTTTCACACATTCATTGCAACTCCCATTTCTCCATCCTCTCTCAGGGATGGAGAGAGGAGTTCTGCTTTACTGCCTGGCTAGAGGAGCATCTAGAAATGGAGGGCTCATTCCTACAACCATGCTGGCCAGCTAGCCCCAGAAATGATACAGAAGGGAATGCTGGGAACTGCAATAACCAGAAGTGCTCCCTACTTCAGTGCAGGTTTGAGCAGCACATGCCAAGCACCCGTTTCTCTTCCTCATCTGCTATAACATCTCTGGGCTGAGAAGGCTCTCCTTTCAAGGTCACAGCTTAATTTTGGGTGTGGCTGTAGCAGAACGGGGCACAGATTCTGCCCTAATGGTGTTAGGTGGTAGCTGCTTTGAAGTATTTGGTACCCCAGCATGTTTCCTTTAGACCCCATGATACTTAAGGTGTGAGCCAAGTGGACAGAGCTCACTTATACCTGATTTAAGGGGAGTTTTGTTAGGGCAATTTCATCTTAAATTGTAGATGTTGCTTCTGTGTCAAATTCACTGCCAGCTGGCCAAGACTAGAAGAGCAGAGAGAAGGCAGCTGGTCAGAATGAATCAAGTGCTAACCTCTGTGTTGCCAAAACCTTGCATAGCATCTTCCACTGTTAAAAGCTGAGTTCAGACTACCTAGATCAAGGGCCTGTCTGTTTCAGTTTGAAGAGTCAAACATGAGAGGGTTTGTAGCTGCCAGATGAGTGTAAAATGTTGCTCTCTTGTACCCACTCCCCTCCAGCTGCTGAGCCTCATGAAGACAAACAGGCACAGTCTGCATCTTCGATGTGTCAGCATCCATTAGAGATTTCATTTATTATTAAAAAGGAAAAAAGCTCTTACCAGCTCTCTCCTGAATGTGTTTATCCACAGTTACAATGGGGAAGAGAAGCCCTCTCCTCTAACGAAATTGCAAGGAAAGAAAAACAGTTATTGTCCTTTGCACAGACCTTCCAATGGGCATCCTAGGGCCTGGCAGGCTGGAAGCCCAGGCAGATCCCATGCCAGCCTGATACTGAAGGCAAATTCTGAGACTGCTAAAAGCAACTGTTTTAATCAAAGGTGGAAAGTTTTATTAGGAACTCCTGGGTGCAGAATGTGTTCTTAAGCCCAGGCAATAACTTAGCTGGCCTGTTTTGTCTTGGCTGACCCTCAAGTCACAGAAGCAGGTTTTTTTTCTAAAATCACAGTAACCTGAAAAAGTTTTAGACATTGTGTAGTGATGTCAAAGAGGAAATGAATGCTGATTTTTAAGGTGGGGACATTGGCCTTTATGATATGCCAACAAGAGCACCAACCTAATTTACCTCTTCTGTCAACAAGCCACAAGACAGCAGAGACCCTTCCAACATGTGATCTTTACCATTTGTGCTGCAAAGGAAGGGATCAAGTAATTCCCCGTCCGAGCCAGGCTGT